CTGCCAGGCCTCAGCTACAAAGCCGGTCACGGGGCGGAGTCTCCCAAGGTCAGCACAGCACAATGCAAAGTTGGGCCTTCTGTCCTGCAGCCCAGAGAGATGTGGGGAACTGAGATGGGAAGCCCGATAAAGCTAGCCCTGCTGTGCAGCTGCAGTGACACCCCCCTCCCTTCCCGTGGGCCTCGCAGCCCAGATAACGGTGCCCCTCTCATCTCACCTTCTGCTCCCCAGGTGGTGATCAACCCCAGGAATGAAGTGGCAGAGAGTGATTTCACCAACAACGCCATGAAATGCAGCTGCAAGTATGACGGACACCGGATCTGGATGCATCGCTGCCACATAGGTACAGCAGGACCCCGGACCCTGGTGGTGGGGCTGACCTGGCAGCAGGCTCTTTGGGGACCTCTTGTGCCAAAGCAATTCACCCCTTTTTCAAATGCCTTGCCACAGGTGACGCCCTGAGCGAGGCCAACGGGACCTCTGAACAGTACCCAGGACAGAGCAACAACCAGGTTGTATAGGTGGCAGCTGCCTCCTCCTCCTGGGCACAAGGCGGGCAGGTGCCACCAGTGGCACAGCAGTGGGCAAGAGGACTCGATACCTCCGTCTCCCCTCCGACAATTCAGCAGTTGTCTTGCCATGAGGCGGGAGTGACTCCTCCTGGGCAGCTGCAAGGTGCTACCCGTCCCAACGGCTCAGCCCGACCAGACTTCTGCTCCACAGCTCTCCCTCCCCGGCATTCTTCCCAGATGACAGTTCCTTCTCCGACCACAAGAGGTGCTGCGGGCATCCCAAGACAGCTGCTCCTGCATCTAAGCTGGGAAGGGGCGGTTGCTGCTCAGCCACGCCGCCTTTCTCTGGGGCTTCAGCACTGCCTGTGTTGGGGCCGGCCTGGGCCCTCCTATATAAAGTTAATTGTCTGTGTCCCCAGGTTTGTCCTGACTCACTGTCTGGGAGAGGGAGGAGGCCAATTGCTGCCTTGGCGTTTCCTCCATCCTGCCCCCAGGCCTGTGCAGCAGAATGGGGCAGAGCCCTGTGGGACAGGCGCTTCCCAGCTGCTGTGGGGGCTCTCTGCAGGGTGATTATGGGGGAGAACAGCAGCGCTGTCTCGCAAACTGTCTCACACCCCCAGGCACCCCACTTCCGCTGAATTACTGAAAGATCCACAGCAGAGGCCTCCAAACTTGGCAACTTTTTAAGACTTGTGGACTTCAACTCCCAGAATTCCTTAGCTGGTTGAGGAATTCTGAGAGTTGGAGTTCACAAGTCTTAAAAGTTGCCAGATTTGGGGACCCCGATCCCCAGGAACCTAAGGTGAGAGTTAGCACCGCAGGAAGCCTGCCACTCCTTCCCTCTTCCTGGCTTAGCCAAGGCAGAAATGCTCCAGTGCAGGATTTGGAAGGCAAGCCTTAACCAGGAGGAGAGGCACGGGACTTCCCCGCTCCCAAGGCCCAAGATCCATCCACTCTAGCTTCCCACAGCTCAGAGGACTCCTCACGCCAGAAGGGCACAGCAGCTCCTTCCCCCTAACAGCACCCAGCCGAAGGGAGACGCAGTCCGAGGCCTTATCAGGAACAGTGTCAGACGGAAGACAGAAAAGCCACCATCTTGAAAAATATAATTTGACTTTTCAGCCACGCACTCCCAATCCTTACAATCAGGCTTCCCCAAAGTTCACAGCTGCCACAACTGCTGGACTCCAGTTCCCAACATCCGCAGCCTGGAGGCGGTCTCTGCGGATGGGAGAGGCTGGCGCTAAGTACGACGTCTGTTTCGTCCCAGAGTTGCTGCTGCCGCTGCTGCTCTCCGTTGAGAGTCCCCAGCTTCTCTTTCTTTCAGAGCGCACAGAAAACGGGTCGGGGGGTTCCCTCGCAAGCAGGGCGAAAATCACCTCCTCAAGGATGTGTCTCACAGGGTTCCAGATTACAGGGCTTAAGAGCACCTCATGGGGAGTGCCCCCCCCTCCAAGGGACAGGCTGGCAGTCCAGGGAAAGATCCCGCTTGCCAGGAACGGCGTAAGTGCCTTCAAGGTCCCTTTTCAGTCTAAAGGCCATTCTAAAAGCAGGTTCTCCACTAAAGGCTCCTGGAGACAGCGGCCCCTGCCCCTTCTCCAGAGGAACAAAAGGCTCTGTGCCACACACACCAGCCGGGTCCCAGCCATTTTCCTGCCAAGGCCACGGGATCAGCGGCCCAGCCTGCTCTTGACTCAACGGAAAGAGCCTTTGGGATCTGAGGAAAGGAGGTGGGGGAGTGGGCTGTGTCCTCCTTTGAGCCCCCTACTCTGTGACTTCTGGGGTGATGGTCAGCAGGAGCACCTCATAGCCGCGGTGGACCTGCAGGGTCAGGCGGCTCTGGGTCCTCACGGCTTCATAGATATCTTCTGCCCGTCGGGTTGCCTTCCCACTGATCTCGGTGACCACGTCCCCTGCTTTTAAGCCCGCCCTGTGAGGAGGGAAGAGAAGAGCAGGTGGTAACCTGCCTGGTAGGAGGAGACCCCTCCCCCCCCAAGACCCCTCCCCAGCCTGGCACTCACTGATGAGCGGGGGAGCCCACGATGACCTTGTGGATAAGGACCCCATAGGAGACATCAGGGAAGGATGGGCTCCTCATCTTCAGCTCTGACAGGATGCTGGGAAGGGAACGGAGGGAGAGGTGGCAGGCACGGTCCTCCCTTGGGCCAACCTTCCTGGCAGCACCAGGCCCTCTTCCCCAAGAGCCAGGCCTGGCCTCCCCAGTGAAGGAGCAGGACCATCCCGCATCCCCACCGACCCGGAATGAAGAGCCCAGACAGGCCTGCGCTGCAGCTATTCCAGCCAAAGACGAGGAGAGGAGCCGGCTCTGCCAGCTGGAAGCGAGTTGGGGCAAAAGGCCCTCCACAAAACCCAAAATTGGCCGAAGTCATGCCAGACGTCCTACCTGGGAGTCAAGGTCAGCATCATCACCCCGATGTAGCGACGCCTGCCCTCAGAGTGGCCAAACCAGGACTCTGCAACGGGAAAGGCAACTCTCTGTACGGGCCCCCTCCTCACCCAACCCCAAGCCAACCCCAAGCACTGCTTCTAGGCCAGGAGAGCCAGGAACGGGGCGGGGGCCCCTCTGCGGCAGCACTCAGGATGCCTGCAAGAAGGGAGGGAAGCTAGGCCCGAGTGCTGCAACACACAAACACACACACACACACACACCCCACCTTGAGAGGCACCCAGGAGCCCGCCTGCCTTGCAGCTCCCCCTCACCCTTGTGTTTCTGCTCCTGCTCCAGGAAGACCCGCAGGCGGTCGGAGGGAATGGCAAAAGAGATCCCCGGCGTGACCTTCATGGTGTTCACACCAATCACTTCCCCGTCCTGAGAGATGAGAAGGGTCTGACAGAAGGAGCTGGCAGGAGAGGAGCCGACTCACGCAACAACCCCGGTCATCCCACCCAGGCCCAGTAAAGGAACCATAGTTCTTCCAGGAGTGCCAAAATGGAGAGGGGGGTGGGGTTGTCAGCAGGTCTTGAACTTACCAAGTTGACCAGGGGGCCCCCGGAGTTCCCAAACTGCAAAAGATAAAAGACCCCCGTCAGCCAAAGCAGCAGCTGCAGCACCTTCTCAACGTTTTAGGCCAGAGGTCTCCAAACTTGGCAACTTTTAAGACTTGTGGACTT